GGGCGGGCGGCGGGGTCGCGGCCTGCGGGGCCCGCGGGGGCCGGATGGGGCACGAGCGGAGAGCGGGTCCCGAGGCCGCCGCGCTTGCGGCGGGGAGGGCGCGGGGCGCGGTGCCGCGATGCGCGGCGGGTTCGCGCCGCGTCTCAGGGCCTTTCTCCGTCCGGTTAATGGCCTCATCTTTCATGTTTATTTTTCCCGTGTCTGTGCGGACACAGCTTTTAAATCTCCCACGTTGGTTAGGACTGGCACGTCCTTGTTGACTGGCGGTACCCGAGGGTCCATGCCAGCGCGGTCGGTGCCGGCTGGCATCCGTGCTGGCAGCGGGTCCGGTGCCGGTGTGGCGAGTGCTTGGGGCCGCAGGAAGCGGGGCTAAAGCGGCAGCCGCTGCTGTGCGTGCTCGTGGGGGCAGTTCAGGGCAGAGCGTTCGCTCAGTTGTAGCGGTTGGAAGAGGCAGGACTGTCCTGGGGCACTTTCACGGCAGTACGCTTGAGGGCCGGCGTGGCCCAGCCGTGGGGAGGCGAGTGCTCCTGCCGGGCTCTGCGCCGCTGGGAGTGCAGGAGCGTTTGTTGGGCAGAGTTGTATCCGAGACTTGCTGGGAAAGGAAGCACGGTTTGTTTCATGAGGACTTGCACTGGGATTCTGTGATCACTTAATGAGGCGTCTGTGGAAAACAAAAGGAAAGAGCTGGGAAGGGTAGGGATTAATTCCTTTTGTTAACGCCTGTTGTTATTATATTTGATCACTTTTTGAGGTCTTCGTAGTTTTGTTCATTTTCCTCCCTGACTGCTCATGTTGCTCGGCTCTCACCTCTTTACGAGTTGTTGTTTCCCCGTACTCACTGTAACCACTTTTTTTTCTGGAGCTGTGTGAACCGTTCTGTGACTTGTTACATTACAGCTAGGACGATGCACATGCTCCAGTCTTTATCAAACCTGTAGAGATTATGGGATTTCTCAAATTCCTGTTGAGTCCTGGGTTATGTCTATGTGCGTGATGAATAATAAAATCAAGGGTCCTGAGCCTCTTAAGTCTGTGCTGCATGAGATGTTACTGTGAGTGTCCTGTGTTTTGTTCTGGAGCAGAGTAACTGTATATAATGATCCCAGTGCTCCTGTGGTTTCCGTGATTCAAGGTGTTCAGTGGTCAGGAGTTACAGCTGTGATTGCAGTTGGCTCTTTCCAGGCCTGACTGGAATATGAACAGGAGCATCTTAAGCTGGTGTGATTGTTAAATGTGTTGTGCAGTGAGTTTACAGCCCTGCTGTGGGTGGTTCTGCAGGACCAGATGAACTCCTTAGGGAGTTGTCTTGTGCAGTACCAAGTTTGTGAAAACAGCAGCAGCAGAAAGCACAGTCTGAATGGAAATGTGAACGTTGTGTGTAGCAGTTTACTTAACTGTGTTTGTTGAACAGTGTTTGGTGCTGACATAAACTTAATGTGAAATGTGCTGTATGCTCTGAATTCAAGCACTATTTTCTTTCTGTTTCTTGCGTGTTCTATAACTTTTTTTTTTTTTTTTTCTGGAAAAGGCCCTCCTTGTCTTGACCTGAGACATGCCATTTTACTTTCAGAATCCATCTCTTTCAGCTGTTGTACCAGCCTGCTTTCTCTCTTGAAGCTTTGGTCTCTGTCTTGTTTCTTGCTTATTTGTTGTGAGCTCTCTGAATTGATTCCCAAAGTTACTGGCTGTCACTCTGACCACATGTGGATAAGCTGCCTGTGAAGTTGGTAGACTTCTAGTCACCGAGTTTAGAAAGCTCAAACTTGCTATGTTTTTAGACTTCAAGAAGAAGTTCAGAGAAGCTGTTCTTTCTGCACTTCCAGGTACTTTAGAAACAGCCTGGAAGGCATTTAGGGAGAATGACAGAGTTCAGCAAAGGAGAGGTGAAAAATTTTGACTTGTGCTAAAAATGATCAGGGCACTTCTGTCTGATGTGCAGTTCTGTATTCAGGCACCTGCAAGCTTCAAACTGCTGGCCTAAATGATCCATTTGAGTATACAACCTCGTTATATGTAGGTGATGTATGCAAAAATAGACTCTATTTTTTTTTTTTTTTCCTGAGGAGATAGGGTGGAAATAAGCTGTACTGAGAAGGCAGAGATGTTTTTCATGTGTGTGCATTAGCTGCCTTTGAGGTTTTTGGGGTTTTTTGTTTGTTTTTAAAATTAGTAGCAGTGATATAGTACTACAAAGGTATAATTTTCTTATCTCTTACTGCTTCCATGGCTTCCATGTAGGAACACAGTAGCAAACCACAGTGTCTCACCAGGCCCTCAGAGATGGATTTCCAGCTAGTTGTTTTGTTCTGGTGAACAAGTTTGATGCTGTCTTTTCCTCCTGCTATTCACTTGCCTTCCTGCCCCATCAAGGTGAAAGTATCTGAAGATGGGTCACTGTTCTCCAAGGCTGGATCAATGTGTGGGGCAGCTGTTGTCAGAAAGTGTCTAGAATCTACTGTTCTTATGTCCACTTCTTCTTGTCTCCTGCCCTTTCCATCAGAAAGGAATCATTCCCACACAGCACAGTTGTCTCCAGATGTCTTTTGTGTAGGTGAAAAAATTGCCAAGGGCAATTTATGGACAATCTGACACTGTCTCGAAAAAGGAAGATAATAAATTATTTCCTTTTTTAAGAAATCTGTTTACCATAAATCTGCTTTTTATTGAATACCAGTGCAGAAGGTGAGATAGTCCAGGCTGTGCAAAGTTCTTCACTGTCTCTTCCCTCTGTGGGAACTTGGTGGTGTAAACTGACAGCATCTTTGACCCAGGGGCAAACAACTGTGGAATCACAAAATGCCAGAATGGCTGGAGTTGGGAGGGACCTTAGAGACAATTTCATTCCACCCCTGCCATGGCAGGGACGCCTTCCAGTCTTTCCTGTGCTGAGAAGTGTACTGTGATGTGAAAGTCTGAGCAGAGCCTGGTATCCTCTGTCTGTCAGGGCTGGCTGTTAACCTGGGAAGATGGGGAAATGTGGATCTGGCAGCAGATGTTCAGTGTCTCAGCCACAGGCTTCTGATTGCTCTTGTTCCTATGGCTCAAGCTGAGAGGGGCCCCAGTCCCTGCCGGGTGTTGGACCAGCAGCGGGTGGTAATTATGGCCAGCCTGTATCTGATTTCTGACAGCATCCCAAGGATGATTAATTTTATTCCTAGGAACTGAGTGCAGTTCATCAGACTGGTAAAGTAAGGTCATTGCTCTGAAGAATGCAGCTTATTTTTTGGCCTCAAATGCTTTTGTCTCTGAATGGCAGTATAAGCATTGACAAAAACACCTTGATGATATTATTATATGAACATGAATAAAAACAACTAAGGGAGGCATTTAAAACCCTTCCAGTCAAATCTGATTGCTAAGGAACATCTGAAACTGCTTTGCTGAAATACTAAAATTATGACAGTTGACATTTGTGAGACCAAAAATGTGCTCAAAACTAAGTTTATGCCCAGTGTTTTTGAAACAACATTTTAAAAAAAGCTTAAAATATGTTGTACTGAAATGAGTGACTCAGCATATGGAAATAGAATTTGTGGAAATGCAGCAGCAGATTTTAGTAATGGCTGCTTCTGGTGCTGATCTATTTTTACTGGCAAAAGTGTTGGAATCTTAGGTGCAGTCAAGCTGAGGAGAACAAGGGTAGTGTCCTCCTTTCAGGTGTGCATAGGGGAAAAGAATCAAAGAGAGGAGATCTCTTACTCTGGAAAACCCAGAGGGTAGGCAAGTAGAAAGGGTTTGCTTTTTTCCCTCATACACTGTGTAAATGCTGTTCTTTCATTTAATAGACAATCTGGATTTTGTGATTTCTTCCTCCCCGCCAAATGGCTTTTGATGTTTGGTCAAGATTTGAGGGAATAGTGCATGAATGTATGGTGAATCAAATACTAACAGAGCTTGCACTGCACTGTCCTTGTCCTGTGGTCTGTGTGTTCATGGGGAGGTCTGTGCTTGTGGGGTGCAATATGCAGGGCTGTTGGGGTCATGAAAAGAGTTTGTATAAAGAAAAAAAGGTGGTTTCTTGTAGATTATGGGGAAGGGCTCTGTGATGTAGAGAGGTCTGGATTAAGTAATGGAGAGAGATGTGTTCTGACTGGAGCGCTAGGAAACTTTTTTTTTTCTTGCCTAGGGAGGGTTTTCTGCTGGTGTGGCTATTCAGGTGAAACCTATTCTGTTCCTTACAGTGATTTCAGAGAAGACAGTGTGTTGCTTTTTCTTCCCCCAGTGTCTGTCCTACTCTGTTGTGATTAAACTCTTGCTTCTCAATCCTGGTATGACAGCTGCCTGAAAGCAAGTTTTTTGCACGACAATATTGTGTTGGATAGTTCTTGAAAACCATTTTCCTGAAGCAGTTTAAATTCATGGCCCTTCTACATGTGTGACATTGTTTTTGACATGTGTTCCAGCCTGGACATCTCAGCACCTTTGCACCTGCTTCTGGATTGGTTTGGCACTTGCCTGAATGTAGTAGTGTTCTTTTTGTTCTGTTTCAGGTGTGCTCTCCAAGAAACAGCTCAGCAGCTTAAGACAGGATTGTCTTGTAGTCAGCCTTGACTCTGGGGGGGGAGGCATGTCAACAAATATTCGTGTGCTGGAGAAACAGGAGGGCTCTAGTAGCCTTGAGCTTCTGCTTGAAGCACCCCATTTAGATTCTTAAGTACACAGAGCTCAAGAATAAGCCTATGACACTGAAGTGCAAGTTGATGAAACAGCTCATGGGCAGAACTCTGCAGCACCACTGGTTTCAGGGCTCCTGTTCATTTACCACTGAAGACACCAACAAGATTTCACCAGTTTAGGGACTCTGTCAGGCATGGTCCACTGGAGCCCTTCCTGTATAGAGTGTCCTGGGTGATGCTGACTTGCACTTCATTGCAAAGAAAGATGGAGGTTTTGGGTGAGCAGCTGGGTCAGCAGCTTCAGGTCTGCTGTGGTTTAAGGACCATGCTGTGCTCACTGTAGCCCATTCCCAGTGCTCCAGGCAAGGTACAATGAGCTCTGTGCCACAGAGTTCATTGATCCAGGAAGAATTTCCCATCTTAAGTTCTGCACTAGCTGATCCATCATCCATCCCACCTGAAGAGCTGCCTCCATCTCTGGGGATCCCAGCACAAGAAAGACATGGACCTCTTGGAGTGAGGAGGCCATGCAGATGCTGCAAGGGCTGGAGCCCCTCTGCTCTGGAGCCAGGCTGGCAGAGCTGGGGGTGCTCACCTGGACAAGAGAAGGCTCCAGGGAGAGCTCAGAGCCCCTTGCAGGGCCTGAAGGGGCTCCAGGAGAGCTGCAGAGGGACTGGGGCCAAGGCCTGCAGGGACAGGACCCAGGGAATGGCTGCCACTGCCAGAGGGCAGGGCTGGATGGGATCTTGGGCAGGAATTGTTCCCTGGCAGGGTGGGCAGGCCCTGGCACAGGGTGCCCAGAGCAGCTGTGGCTGCCTCTGGATCCCTGGCAGTGCCCAAGGCCAGGTTGTGCATGGCTTGGAGTACCCTGGGACAGTGGGAGGTGTTCCTGCCATGGCAGGAGTGGAATGAAATGGTCTCTAAGGTTCCTTCCTACCCAACTCTCCTGGCATTCTGTGAGCATCTGTTTAGGTGTCTACATATGAATTTGTGATCTCAGTAGTGGTCTGGTGCCATTTTAACCCTGTGAATAAGGTGAAGGTAGACAAAGGCTCTTGCCTGATGTTGAAGACGGGCAGTTCTTGCCAGTGTTCTCATTTCACCTGATCTCCACAGATCCATGCAGGTCTTCCTTCTTAGCAAACATCTTGCTGTGAAATAATTCATAGCAGTGATTCCTAGAATTCTGGACAGAGATACAGAGTGTCACTGGGAAAAAACTTCTGTTGGTCTGTTGCCAGAACCCTTAAACCTGTGGGATCTGCTGTGCTTTTGTAAGAAGGTGGTTGTCATGGTCAGTGCAACATTTCTGCAAATAATGCTCATGAGAGCTTTTCAGTCCAGTCCTGGGAATGTTGGCCTGGCTGAGGGTGCCTGAGCAGTTGTTGGCACAGGTGGTGAAGTGTTGGCCTGTGTGGATTCGAGCACCTCCAGAACAAGTGGAAGATTCGGGCACAGCACATATGGTTTCCTCTGTTACTCTGTGCACTCTTGGCATTTTAAATTTTGGGGCATCTTACCCAAGGAAGAAGGTGGCTGCTGCCTTTTCAAACAAACTTCTGCAGCATTTGGTTATTTTTAAAAAATTGTCATTTTAGGAAGTTCAGTGTTGTGGAGCCTAGTCTTAAAGCTTTAGTTTTTTTGGACATAAAAATGAAGGCCTGTTTTGGAAAGGTTGCAAACCACCAGTCTCTTTTCAGTCAGCCTTCCCAAATGGAGCTGTTGGGCCTTCTTTCCATCATTGACCTGTCCACTGGGAGTATAAATGCATTCAGTCTTTTGATATATGTCATTGTGGATTGACAAACATCGGTTAACAAAGTTCTAACTTGGAAATGAGTGTATAGGGCTGGTTCTCAAATCTGGAATATTTACTGATAGAAATGGATTCTTATCTCTTTGGTAGAGAAAATCAGGACATTCCCTCAGTGTATTTCAGTGAGAGCAGAATAAAAACTTGCTTTTCAGTGTAGCATTGCTTTTTCATTCATCCTATCTTATAGCTCCCTTTCTTTTTGGAAATCTTTTTAGTATGCAGAGGTTACAATTCTTCAAGGGCTCTTTTTAACTTTGCTGGCATAGGAACTGTTCACCTGTTGAGGAATACACCTGGTGCAGGTTGGCAGCAGCAGTGTGAGCTGCAAGTTGTTCTGGCAGGGGGGTTCTTCAACTCTGACAGACTTGGGGCCATGACCACTTCCATGGGGAGCCTCTTCCAGAGCCTTTTCCTAATATCCAACCTAAACCTCCCCTGACACATTGACAAGTCCCTGGACTAATCATCAGCATCAGGATGGGCACAGCCCAGGGGGCTTTGTCTGGGGTCCCTCCCCAGGGGCACCACTCGAGCTGTTCTGTGTCACTGCACCACAGAGGAACTGGAGTCTGGGACTGTGCTGTGGGAAACCTGAGGCTGAGCTGGTGAGAGGAGCCAGTCTGACTGGGGGACTGTGGGGTGTGCGGGGACTCACACGGGGCCTGTGGGGTCACTGGAGCCACTGCTGCAAAGGGGCTGTGATCCCAGCACTGCCAGTCTGTGGGACCCCAGTGAGACCCCCAGAGTGGCATCAGACTGGTGGAATGGGGGAGTTTCCTTAACACCTCACCAGCAGAGAAAGTGGTGCCCACTAAATTCCAGGCTGGCTGGACAGTGTTAGTCCTGCAGCAGATTGTGTAAGTGCTCAGGAAGAAATTAGGAAGAAAGAATCATCTTCTCTCTCAGCACTCTGCTCCTCTAGCTCTTCACTGTGCCTTTATTGCTATTGCATGCTTGGTTCCTGGTATCCCATGGAAACCTTTGCCAGGCCTGGATGCAAGGGCTTCCTATGTTGCTTTCTAAAAGCCTGAAGAAAAGCAGGTGGAAACTTCCTTCCCACCTTCTAGTGGCTCTGAATCAGCACTGCCCCGGGCATTGCTTGAGTATCCTGGGAGGTGCAGACTGTGAGTGTTGCAGACACAGGTTAGAGGATGTGGGACAATAATGGAATGTCACTAGCCACTTGCCAAACTCTTGGCAATTATTCTTTATGCCAGATACAAGTGTGGTAACTTGCCATCATGGTGTGCTGGGAAGGTTTCTCTGCTTCATGTGTGACTGTGGTGCCTTCTTTTCAGGCAGAGATATACCCTGGAGAATTAAAAAAAATCCCAAAACCCCAATCTTTTAAGTATCTGTTCTTGAAATCATTAGAATTTATAGCAATTTCTTAATCTCAGCAGTGGGAAGGATTTATATAACAAATAAATGGCAATAAAGGGCAAAGTTGGTTAAAATGAAGGAAATTTTAGCCTTTTCCTCTTATAGGTGGAAAAATCTCAACATTTCTTCCTTTGCTTACTAAATGTTCTAGTTGTGCCATAGAACTTGCACTCATCAACATATTGGTGTGTTCTGTTTTTAGGGCTTGAATTTTGTGGAGCACAAAGGCAAGCAAAGTTGCCTTCTATTCAGATAATTCTGAAAATGTGTGTTATGTTGTTTTATAACTTAGACATGGTGACCACAGATGGTTCAGCTGTTTGAGTGTTGTTTACCAGAACAGGAAACTTCTCTGAGATTGTGCTCAGCAAGTTCTGACAGAGCCAGGAAGGAACGTGTATTTAATGACAGAATTTGCAGTACAACTGAGATGATCTGGCGGCTTAGAAATTATCTGCTGGGGGGAGAGTCTCTTCCCCTGCTTCCAGCTTTGCAGTGCCTCCCCCTGCTTTCCTATCCTGTGGCATTAACTGGTGCTTATCTTGCTGCAAGGAAAGCAGATTAAAACTGCTGACACAACAAAAAGGGCTTCCCTCCTGTGTGGTTTTCCATTGCTTTCACAGTACAGATTGGTTATCCCATGGGCAGAGGGTGCTGGAATAGGCTCATGTTGACACTTGAAACACAAAAATGAGGGTAGAACCTGATCTGTGGGTGAAGGGGAGCAAGAGCTGCCAACTCTTAATGCTTCAACAAATATTGAAAAGATAAAGATTCAGTTCAAATCCATACTGTGTTAAATCTCAAATTAGCATACGTCTTCTCATGGTTTATTCTATAATCATGTGCTCAGGTATTTGTTTAAAAATTTGACCTTCACTGTCAGACATGAATTAACAGCAGCTGCTGGTGAGGGGCCTGGATATCCCTTCATGCAGGGAGCATTCCCTTTCTAGACTGAGGATTTCTGGTTGATGTTTCTGACTTCTTCCATTATTCAACTTCATGCTGTCAGTCATGGTATGGACCCTGGAAAGGCTTATCCTTTAGCAGATCCAGATCTGTAGGTCCTGTTGCAGAAACAGGATTTAGATATCTTGATTTTGACTCTTTCAAAGTAGTTGAAGTGCTTTAAAAACTAGAATTCTGGCAAGCCATGAGCAGCTTGAATCTGGTGTGAGTTTTAGTTGTAGGTCAGCTAAAACATCAGGATTCAGTCCCTGATGGTGGACTGAGGCAGAGAGTATCTTCCTGTGATAGGAATTCTGTATGTTTTTTCAAGGCTTTTTTTAAAAAGCTGCAAAAATAGAAACTTAGTCAAATTCTCAATATACCCCCAAGTCAGCGTGCAGCACAGACTCACCAGTTTCATACACACAGTAAAGCAGCACTGAAGGCAGCATTAGACAGTAACAGGCCTTGAGGTGCAGGATGGACAACGTTTACAGGGGAAAACATTCAGAAAATTAATAGTCTCCAGTTGAAACACTGAACTGGATCAGATCTTGCTGCTTCTTGTCTTCCTGTCTGAAAAAATTCTGGGCATAAGGTTGAAATTCAGGTTGAGGTGGCATTTTGGTTGTGGCTGGTCAAGTGCCTGGACATGGGGGACCCGATTTTTACCTTGGCTGTTGGGAATACTTTGGTGTTTACAGGAATGTCTTCAAAATCTATCTTTGATGCTTTTTATTCATGCAAAAAATTAAAAATCCTGAAGAGCTTGTTAATGGTACATAGTTCTGTAAAATGTCGTGTTTGTGCTTTTGAAAGAATGAATTGTTCTGGAATTTTCAACAAATAGTGTTTTGTTTTCTGAGTTGAAAAAATGCATTGCTGAAGCAGTGGCTTGTTCTTAGTTTTTAAAATACACATTCAAACTTATTTCAGGTGGAGGAACTTTGGTTTATGGAAATGTGAAGATTTAACCTCACTGAGGATTTTTTCACTTTGCAGATATATTGTAAAATGTCCAATGGTTATGAAGATCACATGGCTGAAGATTGCAGGGATGATATTGGTAGGACAAATTTAATTGTGAACTACCTTCCTCAGAACATGACGCAGGATGAATTACGGAGTCTGTTCAGCAGCATCGGCGAAGTGGAATCTGCAAAACTTATTCGGGACAAAGTTGCAGGTATGATGTAGTGTTTCAGAAATTGTCACTTTGTGTTAGACTGCGTGAGCAAATACTTGATTGAACAACTTAATCTAGAAATACTAAATATTTCTGTGTGTAATCAAACTATTGACAAGTTTGCCTGGAGCTGCAGTAATGCCAGGATTGGGTATTGGGAGGATGGAATGTTCAAGGTTAAGTTAATGACTATTGTGTGTATGGCTAAGAATTCTAAGTACAGTTCCCATATTTGAACATTAATAGACAGGTCTAAAACTGGTTTAGATTTAGTCTCTCGCTGATTTATTCTTCCTGCAGTTTGAGTGTTTTTGACTCCACCAGCGCTCTGAATATACAAACAAACCTTTTGTTCTGATTTTGATCAGTAAAATAAAGGTGTGCTGGAGTTCTGAAGTGGCTGTAGGTCTTATCACTGTTGTGGAATTTAACTTGTAAGTTCCTTAAATAGGATTGGTAGTAGTAGCTTTAAAATATGAGAGAAATGAATTGTTCTGACTTGTGAAACTCAATGTTTCCTTGAAGCAAAACAAATGCTGACAGAGCAACTGCTTCCATATCTGTTTACTTGCAGGAGGTTTTAGCTGCTCTCTGAAGAGGTTTTAATTCTAGCACTGTTAAAATACTTAATTTACAAGTTTTGCTTATTCTTGTTCAGAACCAAGTGAGAGCACTTGATTGTTTCTGGAGGAGAAAAAAAAAAAAAAAAAGTGCTGTTAACTAGCTGTGCACTGGGGTTTGTTCCCAGCCTGCAGCTCGCTGCTTGTGGAATTCTCTGCTGCACATGCTCAGTGTTGTATTTCAGAATCCAGCGATACTGATCGTTATCTAATCCCTAAGGGAGACTGCTCCCCAGTCTGTAAAAGCTGCATAGGAGCTGCTGGAATGCATGAGAGCTCTTTGTGCGTCATCTTTATTTGCTTGAAAATACCCATGAGAACTGAATAATTAAAAACTTCAGAATTTCTCTTCCCAGTAGCCTCTCTGATTTCCATGTCTCTGGCTTTCCTGACATCTTACAGATGAAGTATCTCGTGATGTCTGTCTGTCGATATGTCTACTTAAGGGATGCATATGTTCAGTCATGGTAAAATAGTTACATAAATAGTGATTTCTTTGAATGTTTTGGCAAGTGAGTGTTTGTCGCAGATGTTGTCATGTGCTTTGCAGCACTCAGAAATTGAGGCTTACTCTGAAGGCTGGTTTTGCAAGGAATAAGACCCCTTGCTTAATGATAGCAGGTTATAGCTGATCCACACGTTAGACTGTAAAATAAGCACAGAATGACCTGCATGGGAGAGAAGGATGTTTTCAGTGGGAAGCAAGAGACTTAATCAGTCTCTGAATTTGAGACCCTGCTTCATAGGTACCTGTAGAATCAAACACTCTGGTAATGTCTGGTTAACTTTAACTTGGAGCTTGACAATGCTGGGTAGTTTAAATCCAAAACATACACTTGTGTGCTCAAGGTTGTTCTTAACCTCAAGAATGAAAAGTAAAATTGCTGTTATTGTTGCAGAGAGCCCTTGAGTGCCTGTGGACAGAACACTGGCTTTTCTCTAAAGTGGTTGCAGGTGCTGGATTCTGTGTGGCTGCTGTGGTTATGCCACTGAATTTTTTTGCTATCTAATTTTTCACTTGCTTGCAACACTATTAGGAGCAGTTACCAGTCATCTCATTGCTTACTGATAGTTTTGGAATATCAGTGCCAAAGAACTGGCTCCTACTGAGCATTTTTTTCTTCCTCTTGCTTTTGTTTCTGCCCCTTGATGTTCACATTACATTCTTTATTCTCAAACTCTCTGTTAAACATGTGGATGTGCAGCAGTTCCTGAACAGAAAAATCCTGTGGCACAGTTCTGCTTTTCTTGTGCCTCCACTTGCATTTTTCTGACCCTGTGGCAGACAGCAGGAAACTGGAGCTGCAGAAAAACCTGTTTAGCTCCCTGACCTTGGTTTCTGGTCAGATAAGTCATAATATTGGCATGTGAGATAGAGCGGGTTGAGTGGCCTGGGCAGGAGGGAGGGAACCTTTTGCTTTTGTTTGAGTTAGACTTTTTGGATGAAGTCATAGCTTTTGGTGCCCCCATCAATTTTTAATAATCAGAATATTTTGTCTTTGAAATTCCCTTTACTGTTTGTGTTTGCAGAGTTAAAAATCAATGTTTAGTTGATAATACTTGCTTTTTGTAAAACATTGAATGATACACACATTTCTTCTCAATTTATTGTCTGTTAATGAAATGTGGGGCAAAAAATACTTCTGCTTGGAATGCAGTTTTTCATGACTTATTGAACTGGCATAAGCTGTCTGGAGACTGATTACTGAGATTCAAGAACTGATTTGAAAGTTTGGGTTTGTTTCAGCAAATTATTTTATTATGATTATTACATATGTTGTTGCATTTTGCTTCAAATGCAGCAGAGTATTGAAAAATCTGTGTTCCCAGGTGTGGTTATAAAATGCAGAGAAGCTCCTTGAAGCCTCCACACTGCTTATCCTTTGTCTCACTACTGATGAACATTACAGGAAGGTGAACGTAGCAGCAAACCGTAGTGTCAGTTCACATTTCTTACCAGGAGCTTTTGGGTTTGTGTACATATGGATTATAACCATTGATGAAGGTGTGATTGTGTGTCTGGTCACACGGTTTGTTGTTTGAGATGTGACAGCTTCTTTTTCTGTTTTTTTGTGCCTTTTTTTCAGTACCTGTACAGAGAAACTTGTGCATAGTAGATGCGCATTAGAAGGATGCAGGGCTCCTCCTGATCATACTGGAGGAATAGAGTGCTGGGCTTTGCATTCTCCAGTTGGTGTAGTGCATTCCTCAGCACTTCCAGACATGGCTTTGCTTGGCCTGTGATGGGTGAATCAGTACTGGGAGTCAGCAGGCAAATACTGGATTGTTGCTATGCTGCTCATTGTACTTGTGTTTATGGCGAGTATGTCTTGGACAGCCAGGATTTTCACAAGAGAATTATAGCATTCATTGGACACTGTTCTTTCTGGCAGACCTTAATTGAGCACCAGCCTTGCCTTGGGGCTTTGAACCCTAGGGAAATGTTAGAAGGCTGAGTTCCACTTCACAATATGGTATGGCACAGTGTCCAGCCTGCAGTGTAACTTTTCACTGGTGCATCTTCTGCCCTATCATGATGATTGCTGAGGTCTGTGAGTAGCCACTGACCTGATTCCGTCAATTAAATCCTCTCTTCCTGGGGCTCTGGCTCATGGGGCTAAGAGTGAGAAGTCTGGGGTTGGTCCAGTAGTCCTGCAGCATTGCCTGCAGACACTGCAGGGCCAGACCTGTACTCTGCATTGATTCCCTCTCCAGGGATGTGTATGATGTTAAATGTCCACTTTTTTGGAGCAGCTGCCTCATGCTGGAGATGATCCAGCAGAAGAAATCTGTCTCATGCTGTATTTTGCATGGTCAGTGCCTGACTTTGCTGCAACATCCAGGTTCTGTTCCCAGCCAGTGTGCTGGGCTGGATTCCTCTAACAGGTGAGTTTTTTGAAAACATTTCTCCTTCAGTACCTGTTAATGCAGGAATGCAGGCCTCTGGGCCCCTCTGAGGTTGCTCAGTTTCTTGCAGCACAGATGCTGATGGCTTGTTGTGTCAGGATGTCTGACTTTGCACAGCACAGGTGCGTCTGCTCAATAGCTCTACATTTTCCAAGAGAGCCTGGTCATCTTTAGCCTGCTGTCCATGCAGCTGTACACAGGCTGTTAGTCCTTCTGGACCAAATGCTGAAGCTGAAAGTTAGTTGGTCACGTGTGTTTTAGTTTCTCTGTCTTCCCCTTACTCTGCTAAAATATTGGTACTTTTAACCCTGACTGTCCTAAAGCTCTGCAAATGTAGAGTTAAACTGCTTTTTGGTGGAATTATTAAAAACAAAAAGCTGCCAAACTCATGTGCTATAGCAGCACATGGTAATATTAAAAAGAATATTCCTTATTGGAATAATTGTGTGAGCTTGGGGTGCTCCCACCTGTGATACTGTATGTAACTGTCCTCAGAGTGCAAGGGAGAAGAAGTCATCAAAACTACCACAAAGCTGTGTTGGGGAAGTTTAAACTGGATATTAGGAAGAGTTTCTTCCCCCAAGGGTGCTGGGCACTGCCCAGGCTGCCCAGGGAATGGTCCCGGCCCCAAGGCTGCCAGAGCTGCAGGAGCGTTTGGACAGCGCTGCCAGGGGTGCTCAGGGTGGGCTTGTTGGGGTGGCTGGGCAGGGACAGGGGTTGAAGGGCCCCACAATCCAACTGAGAATATTCTAGGGTTCTATTCTAGGATTCTGTGAACCTTTTCCCCCCTGTGTTTATGGCCTCAGACTTCTTTGGGGTCTATTTATTGCTCCTGACACCATATCCCCTCTCGGAGTCTCTGGTGACAGGTTGCTGTGCACACCTCATTCTGTGAGAGCTCCTCCTGACAGTGATTGATTTTGGAAAGGAGGCATCCAACTTCCTGAGGGTTCCTGTTCCTTCCCTCACACCTTCTGTACTGTCTGAGCAGGGAGTGTTTTCCCTCTGGTACTCATGACTGTCTGCTCTAGGAAGTGTAGGATATGATCCTTCACACTGTTCCAAAGGCTCTGTCTGTACCTGTCAGCTCCCCAGACATGCCCCTCTCTGTGCAGGGGCTGGGAGGGAGACGTGGGCTTCCTCTGCACTCTCTGCATTTGCTGTGTCACGGTGAGTTCTGATGGAGATCGCTAAGGTGATCAGCAACTGTCGGGGCAAAGGGATCTCTCCACTGCTTCTGGGAAGTGTGGAGCAGAAAGGACACTTTGGGGTGACTTGTTAAGGTTTTATGGAGGAATTTGGGGTCCATCTCAAACACTGCTGTTGTGATGGCTCACTCTCTGCAGGTGTGCCTGGGACATGTTGCTTACAGGACCAAAAGAAGTCACTTTCAGGTAGTTGCAATTCCTCAGGAATGGACATAAAGCTTTACCCTTTCCCTGCCTTTTTCTTTTTATGTCTTCTCTGGAAGAC